GCTCTTAACATTGTACAGGAGGCAGCAACGAAAACTATCCCAAAGAAAAGGAAATGCAAGAAAGCAAAGTGGCTGTCAAACAAGGCCTTACAAATAGCGGAGGAAAGAAGGGAAATAAAATGCAAGGGAGATAGGGAAAGTTACAGAAAATTGAATGCAGACTTCCAAAGAATGGCAAGGAGAGACAAGAGGGCCCTCTTAAACTAACAGTGCAAATAAATAGAGGAAAATAATAGAAAGGAAAAACCAGAGATCTGTTCAAGAGAATTGGAGATATTAAAGGAACATTTTGTGCAAAGATGGACATGATAAATGACAAAAATGGTAGGGACCTTGCAGAAGACATCAAGAAGAGGTGGTAAGAATACACAGAGGAACTATACCAGAAAGATTTAGATATCCCAGACAACCTAGATAGTGGGATTGCTGACCATGAGCCAGAAATCCTGGATAGTGAATTCAAGTGGGCCTTAGAAAGCATGGCTAACAACAAGGTCAGTGGAGCTGATGGATTCCAGTTGAACTATTTAAAATCTTAAAAGGTGACGCGGTTGAGGTGTTACACTCAATATGCCAGCAAGTTTGGAAAACTCAGCAGTGGCCAGAGGACTGGAAAAGATCAGTCTACAACCCAATCCCAAAGAAGGGGAGTGCCAAAGAATGCTTCAATTACCATACAATTGCACTCATTTCACACGCTTGCAAGGTCATGCTCAAAATCCTCCAAGGTAGACGTCAGCAGTATGTGGACCGAGAACTCCCAGAAGTGCAAGCTGGATTTCGAAGGAGCAGAGGAACTAGAGACCAAATTGCTAACATGCACTGGATTATGGGGAAACCCAGAGAGTTCCAGAGAAACATCTACTTCTGCTTCATTGACTACGCAAACCTTTAACTGTGTGGACCACAATAAATTATGACCTTAAATAAATGGGAGTGCCTGAGCACCTTATCTATCTCCTGAGAAACGTATACATGGGACAGGAAGCAACAGTTAGAACTGGATATGGAAACACTGATTGGTTCAAAATTGGGAAAGGAGTACGACAAGGCTGTATATTGTTTCCCTGCTTATTTAACTCATATGCAGAATACATAATGCAAAAGGCAGGACTGGATGAATCCCCAAACAGAATTGGTTGGATGTGAGTGAGAAGAAAAGAGAAAGGGGTCCACAGCTTATTTAGTTCTGGCTGGCATGCCAAGATCCCCCCTCAATTTATTTTAAAATGTCTCCCTCCCTTTTTTAACACGAAGAAAATTGATCATATAAACAGCTGGATGCATGACACTTTGAAAATAAAAAACATGGTTAGATGGTCTGAAACATGGATGCTGGATGGTATGGTTGCTATGTAAATGAGAAGCGGTGGGATGTATTGGTTACATCACTGGAAACTAGAACATGGAAAATCTAGGTTCTGATTAAACTCACCAGGTGGTTTTAAGTTACTCCCTTACTCTCTCTCTCCTCCTGACGTACCTCATGGGATTCTTGCAAGGATAAAGTTGAGGAAGAGCCATGCAAACCACCCAGAACTGACTGAAAGAAAACCAGGATGTAAACATAAACGAATCATTGAATTGAAGAGCTGGGAGTAAACTGGATTAACACCAACAGTGAAGAAGCTACCGTGGCATTTATAAACGTTTTGTGGCATCAGGTCACTTCCAACTTAGGTAGACCTCATGAATAAATGACCACCGAAAGGACCAGACATTAAAAACCCCTGCTCAGGTCTTGCAAACCTGAGCCCATGACTTCTTTTATTGAATCAATCCATCTCACATTTAGTCTTCCTCTTTCCCTGCCGCCTACCACTTTCCCCAGCACTGTTCTTTTTTTCCCTCTAGTCCATCTTACCTTCTCACGGTGTAATAGTTTCGGTCGAGCCGCATTATCCTGCCTCTGTCCGCACTCTGAATTTTCCACCCTTTTTGCTCTTTTTTTACAGGGAATGTAGTCGGATCTTTGGGGAAGACGGTCTGACCTTGAAACTGTTTCTTAAAAGGACAGCTCCATTTTCCATCCTCTGGACTCTGACAAATTACCTTTACCTGCTGGCTTTGAAGAAGCTGACGGCCACGGATGCCTCCGCTCTCTTCTGCTGCAACAAAGCTTTTGTCTTCCTGCTCTCCTGGATTGTGCTGAAAGACAGGTTCATGGGTGTAAGGGTAATGGTGGCTGCAGCTCTTTCTAATCAGTTTCATCTCCCATCCTCCCATTCAGGGACCGTGGTGGAGCTTTGATTCTTCCCAGAATGCCTGTTAGGTTCGTGTAGTTCTTCTTAGCTTTGTAGCAAAGGCGCTGGTTGGATAACTCAGTGCTTTAGGGATCTGGCTGTGGAGCTAGATGTTGCGAGTTCGATTCCCCACTGGGAGAAGAGTCAGCCTGGGTGGCCTTGAGCCAACTGCACAGCAGTCCCACAGTGCCTCTAGAGGAAGGGAAGGGTAAAACCACTTCTGTGTATTCTCTGGTTTGAAAATCCTGGAAAGGGTTGCCATAAGTCAAAATTGACTGGACAGCACACAATATACATCGTTGTGATGGGAGAAAATAACCTTTCTTGGAATGCTGGGAGAAGAGTCAGCCTGGGTGGCCTTGAGCCAACTGCACAGCAGTCCCACAGTGCCTCTAGAGGAAGGGAAGGGTAAAACCACTTCTGTGTATTCTCTGGTTTGAAAATCCTGGAAAGGGTTGCCATAAGTCAAAATTGACTGGACAGCACACAATATACATCGTTGTGATGGGAGAAAATAACCTTTCTTGGAATTGGTCAGTGCTTTTAGGATTCTGAAAATCTGGGCTCAATTTACCCGTATTTTTCAGTGGATAAGACGCCCCCATGTATAAGACGCCACCCGCTTTTCTAGCCCAAAAGTAAGAAATCTAAGTGGGGCTTAGCAAGTGTAGGGGGAAAGGGATCAAAGCCCTGCAGGATCACTTTGATCCCTGCTTTCCCCTCCACTTGTTTTTGTTCTCTGCTCAGCTTACCTCCGTGTATAAGACAACCCTCAATTTTTATTCTAAAGATTTTAGGCAAAAGTATAGTCTTATACACAGAAAAATACGGTACATGCAACGTAAATTGTGTGAAATTTCACCAGGAGGTGACCTTTCCAAGCCAGTTCCCCTAAGTTCTCAGTTCTTGTAAGTGCTGCCCTCTAGTGATACAGCAGCGGTATTGCCAGAGGCAACTCATCCACTTAGAACCAATGCAGGATTTACGGGCTAATTGTCCTTGATTTTTATCCTCAAGAGTACAAGTAACTGTGAAATATTGTTCTCAGCTAGAGTGTTATCGTTGAGGGTCATCAAGGGGTTTTCAGCTTACAGCCACCCTGACTAGGGTAGATCTATTGAATCAATTGCTGAATGCATGATAACATCATCGCTTTTATAAATCTTGTAGGAGTCAATAGGTCTACTCTTGCTGGGGGTCTGTGCTGTTGGGGACTCTCCAGAGTGACGTCTCCCTTCACAAAAACATTTGTATAATCTTATGCTTATTATTTCACCAATCATCGGAAGGTGTAGTACGATAAGAGAAGTAGATTATAAAGGGTGATGCAGATCATTTTAAAATCATGTTCCAAATGTATAAACTGCTTTGCAAATATCGACGAAGGCAGCCGTTTAGATTTCGTATGGGTACGTTTCATGAACCATGTTCATAATTCGTTCATATAGATTATAGATGGGTGTGAACTGAACTAAGAACAGGGGGGAAAAACAAAGCGAACTGGGTTCATTTGTGGTGGTTTGGTTTGTGGTTCGGTTTGCGCAACCGGTTTTGACAAAACGAAGCATCGGACTTTCTTCTGCTCGGGTCTTTGCTGTGCTTCGGCACAACGGATGCCCACTTGTCCCCTTTCCACTGCCCACCCACCCCCAATTGCCTCCCGACCTGGTCGTGCTGCCCCTGGGAGGGGGTGCTTGCCCAGAAGGCCACGCTGCTATGCTGCCACCAGCAGAACAGGAGAAGGTAAGCCCACCCACCCCACCCCACCCTGCCAGGCACAGTCTGAAAACTGAGCACTTTCATGGTTTGGTTTTCTGGTTGGTTCATGGTGGTTCATGGTTCGTAGCCAACCGGGGACCACAAACCATCACGAACCACAATCTCTAATATAGATCTTGGAGAAGCCCCTCACCTTTCTTAGAACTACAGTATAGCTTCTCAAGATCTCCTAAACCAGCAATGGGCAACCTGGTTGGGAAACCCTAGGAGCTGGCGTTGTAAGGAAAGGAAAGGAAAGAATTGTTTTGATTGTTTGACTTCTCAGTGGCTTAAGGCAGTGGTCCCCAACCTCGGGCCTCCAGATATTCTTGGACTACAACTCCCAGAAGCCTTCACCACCACCTCTGCTGGCCAGGATTTCTGGGAGTTGGAGTCCAAGAACATCTGGAGGCCCAAGGTTGGGGGACCACTGGCTTAAGGCATCTGGCTGAGAAGCCAGCGGTTAGGGGTTCAATTCCCCCACTGTGCTTCCTTGATAAAGGCTTGGGCCCATAGGGTCCCTTCCATCTCTGCAGTTCCAGGATGACAATGATTTCAGCCTGTTCCAGAAAAATGAATGGTGCCATTGAGAGGCAAGCCCCCCTTTTTGCACCCCTTTGTATGCAGAGTCCCATGACGTGGCACAGTGGGAAAACTGCAGTAACGCAGTAAAACCTCTTCTCGCCAACCTGAGTTCAGTCTTGACTCAGTCCTCTGTCCTTTGGAGGTTGGTGAAATGAGTACCTGGCTCACTCGGGGGGGGG